AATTCTGAGCTGAACTATCGTGTAGAACTATCTGGCCTGCACTTTTTTTTTTTTGGTTGGGAGACTTTTGATGACTGTTTCTATTTCTTTAGCAGCTATAGATCTGTTTAATTTTCTTATTTAGTCTTGATTTATTATGGTAAGTGATATTTGTCCAGAAAGTTGTCCATTTCCTTTAAGTTTTCCAATTTTGTGGAGTACAAGTTTTCAAAATATGACCTGATAATTCTCTGGATTTTCTCCATGTTTGCTGTTATGTCCCCCTTTTCATTTCTGATTTTTCTAATTTGGATAGTCTCTCTCTGCCTTTTGGTTAGTTTGGATAAAGGTTTTTCTATTTTGTTGATGTTCTTGAAGAACCAATTTTTGTCTCATTGATTCTTTGTATTGCTTTCTTTGTTTCTATTGTGTTGATTTCAGCTCTTAGTTTGATTATTTCCTGCCATCTAATTCTTTTGGGTGAGTTTGCTTCAAATGTTCTGTTTTCAAATGTTCTGTTAATTTACTAGTGTTGGATTTTAAGCTTTTTTATGTAGGCGTTTAGTGCTATGAACTTTCCTCTTAACACAGCTTTCATTGTGTCCCATAAATTTGGGTATGTTGTGTGGTCATTTTCATTGAATTTTAGGAAATCTTTAATTTCTCCCTTTATTTCTTCCTTGACCCATTGATGCTTTCGGTGAGCATTGTTTAATTTATATATGTTTGTGGGCTTTCTAGAATTAGTGTTGCTGTTGAATTCTAATTTTAAGCCATGGTGATCTGATAAGATACATGGGGTTATTCCATTTTTTTTGTATCTGTTGAGTTTTGTCTTTTACCAACTATATTGTCAATTTTTGAGACAGTTCCATGAGGTGTTGAGATAAGGTATAATCTTATGTTTGGATGGAATGGTCTATATATGTCTGTTAAGTCAATTTGAGTCATAACATCTGTTAGTTCCCTTATTTCTATGTTAATTTTCTGTCTGACTGACCTTTCTAGTGGTGAGAGTGGAGTGTTGAAGTCTCCCACCATTAGTGTGTGGGGTTTAATGTGTGATTTAAGCTTTAGAAGTGTTTCTATTACATATGAGGGTGCCCTTGTACTTTTGGGCATAGATGTTCAGTATCGAGATATCCTCTTGATGGATTTTTCCTGTGACTAATATGAAATGTCCTTCTTTATCTCTTTTGATTGATTTTAATTTGAAGTCTATTTTGTTAGTTATTAGGATAGCTACACCAGTTTGTTTACTAGGTCCATTTGATTGGTATATTTTTTTCCAACGTTTTACTCTGATACAGTATCTGTCTTTGAGGTAGAGGTGTGTTTCTTTTATGCAGCAGAGGGATGGATTCTGTTTTTTATCAAATCTGTTAGCCTGTGTCTTTTTATAGGTGAGTTGGGTCCATTTATATTAAGGGATATTAATGACCAGTGATTGCTATTTCCTGTTAATTTAGTTTTTGATTTTGGTGATGCTATTTTGTGTGTTTTTCCCTTCTTTGGGATTTGTTGTTATGAGACCATCAATTGTCTGTCTTCTTGTGGATGTAGCCAACTTCCTTAGATTGGAGTTTTCCTTCTAGCACTTTGTGTAGGGCTGGGTTTGTGGCTATGTATTGGTTAAATCTGGTTCTGTGATGGAATATCTTGTTTTGTTTGTCTATGGTGATTGAAAGTTTTGCAGGGTATAGAAGTCTTGCCTGGCATCCATGGTCTCCTGATGTCTTCATAACACTTAACCATGACCTTCTGACTTTCATTGTCTCCATTGAAAAGTCAGGTGTAATTCTGATAGGTCTGTCTTTATATGTTACTTTGCCTTTTTGCTTTACAACTCTTAATATTCTTTCTTTATTCTGTATGTTTAGTGTTTTGATTATTATGTGGTGAGGAGACTTTTTTATTTAGTCTATTTGATGTTCTGTAAGCTTCTTGTATCTTCATAGGCATATCTTTCTTTAGGTTGGGAAAGTTTTCTTTTATGATTTTGTTAAGTATATTTTCTGTGCTTTTGAGTTGAACTTCTCCTTCTTCTATCCCTATTATTCTTAGATTTGGTCTTTTCATGTTGTCCCATATTTCCTGGATATTTTGTGTTAAGCTTTTATTAGATTTAATGTTTTCTTTGACTGATGAGTCTATTTCTTCTATTGTGTCTTCAGAACTTGACATTCTCTCTTCCATCTCTTTTTTCTGCTGTTTATGTTTGCATTTGTGGTTCCTGATCATTTTCTCATGATTTCTGTTTCTATAATTCCCTTGACTTGTGTTTTCTTTATTGTCTCTGTTTTGGTTTTCAAATATTGAATAGTTTCTTTCATCAGTTTGATTGCTTTTTCTTGGTTTTCTTTAAGGAATTTCCAATTTTTTGATTGTCTTTTCCTTCATTTCTTTGAGGGAATTTTTCATTTCCTCTTTAAGGGCCCCAAACATTCTCCTAAAATTATTTTTTAGGTCATTTTCTTCTGCTTCATCTATATTTGGTTGTTCAAGTCTTGTTGTTGTAGAGTCACTAGTTTTTACTGGTGTTGTGTTGTTCTTTGTGGTGTTGCATGTGTTCTTACCTTGTCTTTCCATCTTTTCCTCTGATTGGTGAAGTTGGGGCTGTTTGTGACTCTGGTGATCAATCTTCCAGGTACCAATGTATCCAAGACTAAGATGGTTGCTCCTCATGGTGCAGTCAGTGCCATGGTTCTAGTCACCCCTTTGGTCACTCCATGTTCCTAGAGGTCATTTAGCACTCAAGGGGTTTCCTCTGCTCATGTGGAATTTCACTGTCTCATTCCTGCTCCCGTCTAGGTTGCTGGCTCCAGCTTCCTCCCTCAGGAAGGGAGCTGACATGCTCTCTCCCAACAAGGGAGCCCAAGGAGAAACACATGGGATTGAATTTTTTTCATGAAGAGTTGAACCGGAGACCTTTGCGTTTTCTTTTATTAAGGTTGATTTTAGGTTGTATATTTATGTCCCCAGTCCATTTGTCTCTGGGTAAGGAGTCAGGTATCATTCAGGTTCATTTTAGGTGGTACAGATGTTCAGTAGTCCTGACAACATTTGTTCAAAAGACTATCCTTTCTCTGAAGAAATACATTTTCTTCAGGGCCATAAGGCAATTGAAAAGCCATGCACAGTGGCACACACTTGTAATGTCAGCACCTGGGAGGTTGAGCCCAGAGGATCTAGCCTTCAAGGTGAGCCTGGGTTACACAGTATAGGGAAAGTCAGGCCTAGAAAGGAAGACCAGGCCATAAGAAGACAGGAACATTAACTAAAACTAATTTATTAACCACATTCATTTTGAAGGTCTGTGTGTTAACTCTAGGCAATGTCACACCATCTTAACTCCTGTGAGTTTACAGTATCTCTACAAGCCAAGTAAGTAGCATTATCCCACTGCTTCTACTTAAATTTCCTTACACATTCTAAAACATTTTGTTTGTAACTACAAAAGGTCCCGTGTAATGAAGAGGGCTTGGTTTATGTTGTTGCGTTTGCCTTCTACTAAGCTGTGATGTGCTCAAGTGATGGAGACTCTTCCTATCTGTGCTTGTAATAAATGGCGCATTTTCAATTCAATCTCTCATTTACACCCAAGAACCACTCTGTTGGGATTTGGGTTATGTAACATGAGGGCCAGCTTGTTGGGGTTTCTGTCCCACCTGGTACCCCACAGCCAGCAATTCCCAAAGAAAATCACACAGAGGACTCCGTAAGACTATAAACTGATTGGCCCATTAGCTCAGGCTACTTATTAGCTCTTATAACTTATGTCAGCCCATTATTTTTATCTATGTTAGCCACACGGCTCAGTACCTTTCTCAGCAGGACAGCTTACACCTTGCCTCTCTGGTGGTCTGGGCAGAACTGCAGAGGGAGCTCCCTGCTTCCCAGAATACTCCCATTCTCTTTGCTCTACCTCTATTTCCTGTCTGGTTTTCCTGCCTATACTTCCTGCCTGGCCAATCAGCATTTATTTAAAATCTGATTGACAGAATACAGACAATTCTTCCACACCAGGGTTAGAACTCACTAATGCTTTAGATAGCATTGGGAGATCTGAAATATATCAATGCTACATATTCCTCTCACCTGCAAATGTCCCTCTTCCTTTCTTTAGAACTTCTTTGATTTCTGTAGCTATGGCTCTAGTTTTCACCATGTGCGTCCTTCAGATTTAGAGCAAACTATTGCATTTTGGAAGAAATAGATTGTACTACCTTTTAAAACTGACATTTGAAAGCTCACCGCTGTGTGTAAGCACAGCAGAGCACACTTAAGTGTTCTGATTTTATGTAACCAGGTCTTATACTGACCACACAAAACTTACTTTCATGTTTTATAGGGTCCTTTGGATTTTCTATATAGGCACCGTGGTTGTTTCATTAAGAGTGGCCCCATAGTCTCATATGTTTGAAAGCTTAGTCATTGGGGAATGGCAGTACTTGGGAAGAATTAGTAGGTATAGTCTTGTTGGAGAAAGTGTGTCACTGGGGGTGGTTTTGTGTCTTAACTTGACACAAATTAGAGTCACTAGGGAGGAAGGAACCTCAGATGAGGAAATGCCTTCATGAGATCTAGCTGTAGGACATTTCTCAATTAGTGATCAGTGGGGATGGTTCAGCCCATGGTGGGTGGTACCATTCCTGGGCTGCTGGTCCTGGGTTCTATAAGAAAGCAGACTGACCAGGCCATTAAGTATCATCTCCATAGCCTTTGCATCAGTTCCTGCCTCCAGGATCCTGTCCTGTTTGTGTTCCTGTGCTGGCTTCCTTCAATGATGAACAGTAATGTGGAAGTGTAAGTCGAATAAACCCTTCCCCCCACAACTTGTTTTTCGGTCATGGTGTTTCATGGCAGCAATAGGAACCCTAATGAGGACACCTTGGTCACAATGTCTCTTCTCAGTAACAGAATACTGACTAAGACAGGCATATTATTCAGAAATGAAGAAAGCTTCATTTCCTGCCTTCAAGCCTGTCACAACCACTGTACACTTTGATGTTTCAATCTAGGCCAAGAGATAAGGAAAACAAAAACAAATGCAAACAAACAAATAAACAGACAACCCGACTCCACTACCATGCTGATCACATTTATTTCTTTCCTCTGATCCTCTGATCCTTTGATGTAATTATTTGTTTCCTTTCCTTTGCTCAGATTTGGTTATAATCACTTGGAAAGTTAAGAGTAGTCAATGTTCATTTCCATCAGGCCTGGGGAAACAGGTAGGGCAAGTAAATAGATGCTTAGAAAATCATTTTATCTTACTGTTGTGAATACTAATATTGTAAGTAGTAGTAGATATTTTTGTTTATTTACAAAAATTATTAGCTATTATTGAAATAAATATTGGGAGAGCATAGACAGAGTCACTAACAGTAGTATGAACTCTTGAAGAACTATGATCTCTTCATCAAGTCTTCTGCTGGTCTTCAGAAATTGCTGTACAAGATAGGGACAAGGCCTTGCTTTATAGTGGCCTAGAACTCATGACCCTCCTGCTTTAACCTTCTGAGTACTGTAACTCTGGGTATGAGTCACCACATCTTATAGCCTACTTCACACTTGACTCAGCCCTCACAATGAGTGTATCTCAGAGCTTGAACAAGAAAATCATTCAGGTGTCTAGACCTGCAGAAACCAGCTGAATCCACAGAAAAACTCTGGGTGTTGTTCTCTGCCAGGCAAGGCACAGTCACCAAGAAGCAGCAAGGGACAAAAAGAGGATTCGTAATTGAAGCCATTCTTACTGCCTTCAGAAACGCTGTGAACTTGTTATCTTAAAGAATTCACCAGTGGGAATCGTAATGAACATTTTATATTAAAAGAGTTCATGCCAAACCCAGGGGCTAAAAACAGCTTGTTAAAAATGTGTTCCAAATCCATAATTCTTAAGAGGAAAAGTGTCTTCCAGGAAATATGGGAGAGACATAAGCTGAATCTCTCCACCCGCCCCATCTGAAACAGGAATAATACTCTCTGCCAAGGTTTGAGAAGGAAATATGCATAGTAAAACCAGGGCAGTCACAATTTCATTGAATGGATTCTTAACAGCAAGCTACATACAATGAAATGGAGACCAAAGCATGGAAAGAGGGTGTGAGATACATGTGATCTCACCTTCGGCGAGACACAGCCATGGGCAGGGAGAGGGGGCATCCCTCTCCTCAAGGCTTCCATTGGGTTGGTGAGGCTTCACCATATGAGCAATTCATAGCCTGAAGAGAAAGCAAGTTTGAAGGGTGCTTTATCAGCCCATTTTAAAAACAAAACCAAATCTTCCTATGAAGCATATAATAGGCATAAAACATGTGGTGGATGGGCCCAGCCGCACGCTAGCATCATATCATGAGCTAGAAGGCCATTATGGCCAGCTTTGCTTTCACCAATGAAGCTTTTTAACAGTGTGTTGACTTTGTTTTTTTCCCCTTTTATTTTGTATTTCATGTACACACACACACACACACACACACACACACACACACACACACAGTAATATCTGTTGGGCGTATCAGTTTTATTTTTCCCTATCTGGACCCTAACCAGGAAGGGAGCCCAGGAGATAAGGAGCAGAGAAGCGTCATGGCAGAACACGAATGACTGAACTAAAGAAACAAGATCAGACCTTAAACAAACAGCCCAGGAGCCACAGCATCTCACAATGTCCTGAGAACCAAATAGGGTTCATGTGAGAAGCCTGGGGTGTTCACTCCCCTCCACATCACCACAGAACATCTCAGAGGCTGAAATGAAGGCAATCATGTGGTTCTGTGCTTTAGACATAGCTAAAGTGGGCTGGGTGGCTTCCTGCTGCCCAACACCCCTGTTCCCCAACCACTCCCTGGGCAGACTGAATGACGACATGAGGAAAGAAGCAGGCCAGGGAGTAGTCACTGCATTCCCTGGGGCAGACAGCGGGTCTAGGAGGAACTTCCCCAGCTTAACAGTAAGAAGAAAACCAAGTGAAACTTGTGCACGATACATTGAAAACATTAATGCAGAACACACACTTTAAAATTCTTTCTGACAATTAGAGTTTTAGAGGCGAAGGTGTCCCAGGTGACCCAATGATCTAAAGAAAACAAACAGAGAAAAGAGCAGCAATGGAGGGTGAGGATATAATGGCCAAGGTCACCGAGATGGAAGCTATCACTGCCAGCACCACCAGAGATCGGAGTCAACACATAGCAATTTTCTCAATGAGAAAAGTACAAAACATTATGCTTAAATGTAAGGCAGAAGAACTTCTCAGTATGAAAGCAAAGCTAGATAATGTTCACATCTTTCACAGAAGTGAACAGAATGGCATTAATGAAACAAACGCTGACTCTACTATGCACATGAAAATAAAGAATATCTACAAATGTGAAAGATATCACAAAGGAAAACAAACCAGACCGATCCCACATTTCTCCTTAGCAACACTCCATAAAAATCAATGAAGCCAAGTTTGAGATGCTTCCATTCATATGTGAAGGCAAAAGAAAGTCTGGTTCTTGTGTTCCAGAACTCAGGAAATACAACCACCATGATTCATTTCTAAAATATACCGTTGAAGATGAGAGCTAGCAATAAAGAACTCTCAGAAAACTTTTAACATGGAAAAGCTGGAGATACATACAGGGTCTCTTAAACATTAGCTATGTATGCAGGAAGCATAAGAACACACTACTACGGCTAAAAATTTTGAAGTTAAATGACACTTAGAAAGAGAGAGCTTATGGTATCACACAGAGAAAAATAACAAATATCCCAACACGAAGACAAATGAGATGGAGAAAGGAGAAATGTAGTGTTAAAAAAATTGATTCCAAATTCTCTTCTATGGTGTTACATGGAAAATGAAACTTACACATGATTTCAGTTACAGTCTAAACAGAGCTACTGAGACAACGGGTAAAACAAGCAGGGATGATGATGATTAACTTGTATGATCAATTGAATGGATTAAGAAATACCCAGAATACTAGATGGCCTTGGCTACAGGAGACCTCATCCTAAAAAACAGCCACATTTTTAACAAAGAGCCAAAAAATACACACTGGAGAAAAAGATAGCATTTTCAACAAAAGGTGTTGGTCATGATAGATCCTTATCTCTTACCCTGAAAAAACCTTAACTTCAAAAGGATAGAGGACCTCAACAGAAGATCTGATTCTAATAGAGGAGAAAGGCAGGCAGACGCTTGAATTTATAGGCACAGGTAATGACTTTGAGAAGAACCTCTGGAGCACAGGAACTAAGACCTACATCCACAAAAGGTCCACACGAAACTAAAGGGAAGCATCGTTCAAGTAAAGAGGCCGCCCAATGAACAGATACAAGCTACATATCTGACAGAGGGCTAGTGTCTACACTATATGAAGAACTAGACCTCAAGAAAGCAAACAATTCAGTTAAAAACACGGCAGGGAACAAAATAAAGAGTCCACAAAATATCAACTACGAATGGCTGAGAAAGATCCTGAAAGATCCAGGCCCTTAGCCATGAGGGAGATGCAAGTTAAAACTCCTTTGAGACTTCCTCTTACCCATTCAGAATGGCCAAACCGGAAGTGACAGGCAGTGCTGGTGTAGACGTGGGGAAAGCAGAGCGCTAGTTCAACGCTGGTGGGGTGCAAAAGGATGCAGCTACAGTGGAAATTAGTGTGGAGGATTCTCAATGGGCTAGAAATAGGTCTACCGCATGATCCAGCTTCAGCACTCTTGGGCATCTACCCAAGGGACTCTGTATCTTACTACAAAGACACTTCCTCGTCCATGTTCCTTCATGCTCTATCCATAATAGCCAAGAAACAGGGGTAGCCTAGATGTTCATCAGCTGGTGAATAGATAATAAAAATCTGGTACATGTCTTACACAGTGTAATATGATTCAGCTGTTAAGAAAATTTGAAATTTGCAAGTTAGTGAATAGAACTGGAGACAATCATCTAAGTGAGTGATGCAGACGCAAAGTCAAACATCAAATGTTTTCTCTTATATACGGATGTTAGCTTTGGAATATTTATTAAGTACAGGGGAAAGGGAACAGGAGAAGTTAATTCGGGTGGGGATGGAAGGATAACATAGAGAACAGACCATGGGGAGGGATAACTAACAATAGAGGACTTTTGAAAAATCCATATGGAGTCAGGTGGTGGTGGTGCGTGCCTTTAATCCCAACACTCAGGAGGCAGAGACAGGTGGATATTTGAGCATGAGGCTAGAGCTTCATCTAAGAGGGAACTCCAAGATAGCTAGGACTACACAGAGAAACCCTGTCTTCATAAACAAAAAAAATGAAAGGAAGAAACAAAGAAAGGAAGGAAGAAAGAAAGAAATAAAGAAAGAATTAATGAGAAAGAAAGAAAGAGAGAGAGAAAGGAAGAGAGAGAGAGAAAAAGAAAGAAAGAAAGAAAAAGAAAGAAAGAAAGAAAGAAAGAAAGAAAGAAAGAAAGATGAGGGAGGGAGAGATGGAAGGAGGGAGGGAGGAGGAAGAGAAAGAGAGCAAAAAAGCAAAGAAGAGGGGGAGAGGTAAAGAGAAAGGGAGTCTGTGTGGATGTTAGTGGCCCATGGTGCCACCAAAGACCACATGAATGCCTGGGGTCTAGGCCACAGTCTTTGGCCATGTTGGTGTCTGAAGGCTGTGCCAGTATGAGGACATGCTGATTTGCCACATATGCCTAGGCTGCTGCTGAGGGCCACTTCTGGGTCCATGAACCTGCAGAAGGCAGGGTCTGAGTTGATGTCCATGGCTCCTTTACCACCGAGGTCTGTACCGATGCTCGTGATCTGGTCAGCCACCTGAGACCATGGTGGTGATCGAGGGCCTTACTGTCACCAGGGTCACACTGATGCGGGTGGCCTGTGCCACCGGGACTATGGTAATGTCTGTTGCTGCTGCGAGGGTCATGTCTAGGTCCATATTCCTGCTGCAGCAGGGGTCTGTGTTGAGGCCTGTGTTATCACAGGGGGTCATAGAAACTATGTCTGTTGAAATCAAAGGGTCATGCTGAGCTGGCCCCATCCCCCACTAGCCCAGGGATAGCAGCCCCTGCTCCTCGCTGGACACTACAGTTGGCCCGTATTCGGGAGAGCTGACCCTGACGGCATGGGCCCAGGAAAGTTGGCTCTGTCCCTCACTGGAGGGGCGCAGTCCTAGTGGCCCTGACCCTCATCCTGAGCTTTGGGTTTGCCCACTTTAACATCTACGCCATCCCATCTATGACCTACTGGAGCAAGTGAAGGGACTGGTCCTGCGGAACAATAGCCGAAAGATCTCTATGGCTCTGACGCGGGGCAACAACAGGATATCCGAGAGGAGTTTCAGTGAGGTGCCAATATCGATGGCAATGGTGTGCCAGAGGCCTTGAGCCAGGCCGGTGACACTGTGATGAACAGTTTGTGGGCGGGGCTGATAGGACATAAGGATTCTGAGTGACACACCGCAGTTCCTGATGACGCTAGGATCAACCAGAAGGTGTTGGAGAGACAGAGGAGCAAGGTGGGGTTTTTAGGTATGCGTACTGTTTTGCTTTTATTTTTTTTTTAGAGGAGTTCTTTGGGGTAGATGTTGCATGGGTGAGGGGAAGATATGGAGGCACTATGAAGGACTGAGCAGGATTGGGGTGCATGATATGAAGTTACCAAAGAATCAACGAAAAATTGTTACTAAAAAGAAAGAGGGAAAAGGTCATAAAAAAATCTACTGCTGCAGAAAACTCCTAAAGTATACACATATGCATATATAAAACAGTTTAAAGAATTTAAGTGGCGTTACCCTGTAAGAGGGGACAATAACCCAAGTAGACATTACATAGTAGCAAATGAAGCATCCCAGTGTTCAGAATGGTTACCTCTTTTGAGTTGTTGGCCAGTGGGGTCTCACAGAGCTGTCTTAAGGACTTTTTTTTTCTGTTGCTATGAAAAACACTGTGACCAAAAAACAACTTAAGAAGGAAAGGGTTTATTTTTTTTTTCCTTACACTTCCAGCTAACAGCCCATCATTAAAGAAATCAATACAGGAACTGAAGCACATGTCACGGAGGGGTGCTGCTTGCTGGCTTGCTCCTCATGGCTTGCTCAGCCCACATTCTTACAGCACTGAGGCCCAACAGCTCAGGGATGGCACTACCCACAGTGAGGTGGGCCCTGACACAACAATCATGGTGCAGTTAAGAAAATGTACCATGGGCTTGCCCACACAAGCCAGTCTGCTGGGAACATTTTTTTCAATGGAAGTTCTCTCTTCTGAAATGACTCTAGCTTGTGTCACGCAGACACGCAACTAGCCAGCACAGTGCCCAAACTTTATAGCTACTGCCACTGCTCTTGAGAACTTGATGGGAAGACCCTAGCTAAAGACACCTCATAGCTGAGTTACAAAACACAGAGAAGAGCAGTTACTGACCTGGACGTTTCAGCCCTACTGGCTAGCTTTCATGGTGCAGAAAGGTGCCGAATCCCCATAGTTGCCAGATGTGAGAACTTAGAGATCAATTTAAAAGCAAGGAGTGATGGCATGTGACAGGACTTCCACTGTCCCGACATTCAGATGCTCTAAGTCTGCCTGCTAGAGTGCTGTGTATGCATTTCAGGGTGACAGTGGGGTAAGAAAACTTATAATTTAAAAATAAAAGCACAGTTTCCTTTATGTGTTCCATTATGATTTGCTTTTATAACTACTCAGTAAAAACTTACATCCTTTAACATAAAGAAAAAAATGGAAAGGAGCGGCAATGCGGCTCAGTGGGTGCTTGTTACTACCTGACAGCCTGAGTTTAATCTGACCTCCATTGCATGCCAGCCCATGAGCGAAGACAGAGCACACACGTGAGAACACACATGCACGTGCACACACACACACAACATAATAAAAACCTTTCAAAAGACTAGGAAGATTTGTTATTATCAGCAGCACCTTTATTCCAATGGTATGTACTCTATTCCTTCCCCCAAGTATGACACAGAAAGCATCTGGATATTGACTCTGACTCATCATTTAAAGGCCTTCATTGTTCAGGAAAATTATGACTTTATTAAGTTTATATTATGGTGATGGGAAAATACTTCTTACTTCCTAGTATTGACTAAAAAATTGATTCCTGCTTATTTACAACCTTCAACTTTCAGGTGCTACTGAATTTAAAAACAGAATATGTAAGCTAGTCTAAGATTCAGGAAAAGAACTTTGACACACACAGATGAAGTAATTCTCGAAGACTGAATCTTAGACGAACTCCCCATGGCATGAACTGCTTTCCTGAAACTCGCTGCCTCCCTTGTCCTGGTGCAGAGCTGCTGCCCGAGCTCACAGACCCTTCTAGAAAGCGCAGCAGCTGCTGCAGATAGAGCTGCCTAGATGAACAGCTGAGAGAGCAAAGGCTACAGTCTAGCCAGACGCACGAGTGGGAACAACCTTTCAGGTCTTCTACTGTAGGTGGGTCTTAGGGGACAGGAAGGAACAAAGCCAGCCCTTAAATATGCTACATAAATGCTCTACTACTACCGTAGCTTCAGGTGACCATGCAAGTTAACTTTCTCCAATAGGCAAAGATCAATGGACAATGACATCTGCAGTGAGCGCACACACTCAGAAGGAAGGCAAGTAAGTGTGACTGAAGAGAGAATGAGGACCAAGAGGGAAAGAGTATGTAAAGCCAATGGGAGACAAAGCAAACCACAGGGAAGGCCTGGGGAGACGGCGCAGCTGGTCAGCATCGAACCGGAGTTTGGACCTGCAGAACCCACATGAAATCCAACCATGGCACTCCAGATCCAGTCCTTGACATGCATGGGCACGTCTGCAGTACATACATTGTGCACGTCTGCAGTACCCATACCCGTCCACAGAATGACCACAGTGCATGAATACACTATACATCTGCCACACACACGTGCGCATACCAGCCCACTGAGTAACACAGAGAAACTGGTCCATTACAATGTTACCACACTGTATTGTCATAAACAGGTTAATTGTAAAAAGCAGAAGGGATTATAAGTTTGTTGCCCATGGGCTGACAGGAAGTAGAGCTAGGCTCTAAGCAGAAAAGGACTCCATTTCTTTCTTGTCCCCTAAGCCCAGCAAAGCTGCTGCTTTTGTTCCTCATCTCAGTGAATCCTCTAGTGTCTGTCTGTTCTTGCCACTTAAACAATCTATCATTATTAACTAACTTTGAGACTAGTCACTTACACAGGGATCAATGAATTTATAACAAATTGCCACCAAAGGGACTATTTTGGTCTAACAAGGTCTGAACTACAGTTAGACATTTATATAACAGTTTGCATAGCTGGTCACAGATTGTCTGATTATAATCAGATGTCTTGCAATCGACTACCTGCACTCACCTACCATTGATAAATCTATTTTCAAGATTCGAAACAGATATCTTCAAGTCTGTGAGTACTTACTTTTACAGACAAGTCAGCATTTTAAATTGTTACTTCCAGTTAAAGTTTGTAACCGACACTGGAGCAATTAATTGTTCTAGAAGAATCTAACACTACAGTGTAGATTAACTCATTGCTGATTGGCAATCATTTATATAAAAGTGATTTGCCTATTGATTTCAAAGGGTGAGTTAATTCCGGCCCCATCAGCGACTCTTTGAGTCCACCATGTTTGTACTTCTATTGAAGGGAGACTTAATGATCTTGAGTTGGGCTTGGGAATATTCTCACCGTTTTTCCCGACAATATTATACACTGATTGGAAGCTATTAATATTGAGAATATAAAGTACCAGACAATTTATGAATGACTTGAGACAGCGCACATGCTCTTTATGGACACTCACAGAGAATGAACTTTTAAATGTTTGCCTTCACCTAATATTCTGCTTAATAGTTTCCAACTTTCAAGGAATGAAAGGGGGTGTGACTCACAGAAGTTGGTGCTAGTGAGAGTGGGAAGCCAGTAAGGTCACACTCTGCTGTGACTCTTAGTCTGCAGAGGGATCCTTTGAATAGTTGAAGAATAAAGGGTTCTCTCTGTAGTTTCTGCTCAGCTTTGCTGTGAAAGTAAAATGCTCTGAAAAATAAAGTTCAATAGGGCTGGTGAGGTAGCTCAGCAGTTAGGATACTGCTCCTGCAGAGGACCCGGATTCAGTTCCCAGGACTCACATATTGGCTCATAACCACCTCTAACTCCAGTTCCAAAGGCTCTGACACCCTCTCCTGACCCTTTGGGCATCAGGCACATATGTGTTGCACAGACAGACAGGCAGGCAAAACGCTCATACATATGAAAGGAATAAACCTAACAAGGACAGAACAATGGATTTAGATGGATATTAACCTTATATATTATGGAAAAGCTAACACTATGAAATCCTTCAAAGATAACTACAGCAGAAAATGTAGGTGACTTTGAGCACAGAAATAACTTTCTCGATCTATCAAAGGCAGGACCCGTGAAAGAACCAGTGCTAGTCTTTATTAAAATTAATTCCTGCTCTGTGAAAGGCTCTGTCAAGAGAATGAGAAATAAGCCTCAGACGGGAAGGACGTGTTTGCAAGAAGCATGGGTGATAAAGGGTTGTGTGGTGGTTTGAAAAAGAATGACCCATAGGCCCATACATTTGAATGCTTAGGCACCATAGAGTGGCACTACTTGGGAGGGATTAGGAGGTGTGGACTTGCTGGAAGAGCTATGCCACTGTAGATAGGTTTTGAGGTTCAAAAGCCTAAGCCAGACCCAGCATCTCTTCCTGCTGCCTGCAGATCCAGATTAGAACTCTCAGCTACATCTCCAGCACCACATCTGCCTACGCGCTTCCATACTCCCTGCCATGATGACAATGGACTAAACCTCTGAAGCAGTAAGCAAGTCCTAATTAAATAGTTATATAGAGTTTATAAATAGAGTTTACAGAGTGTCCATGGTCATGGTGTCTCTTCACAGAAATAGAAAACTGACTAAGACAGATTGTTAGCTAAGATTTATAAGGAATGCCTAAACTCACCAACACATTAATAATCATATATGTAAGAAAAGATGCTCCCTATCATATGTCATCATGAAAGACAATGTAACATGTCATAGACATACATTATTGAATGGCTGAGTCTTGAACACTTACATGCTCAGTGCTATCAAGGACGGGAATTCTCATTTATTGTTGGTGCTCACGCAAAGTGACTCAGCTGTTTTTGAGGATGGGTTAGCCATTTCATGCAAAACTAAATATACCATTACCACACAATCCAGATATCTTACCCCTTGGTATTCACCCAGTGTAGTTTAGAAGTTGTATCTACACAAAAACATACATACGGATGTTTCTAACACCTTTGGTCATAGTTTTCAAAGCTTAGAGGCAGCCAAGATGTCCTCCAGGAGCTGAATAAACCGTGACAGAGCTAGACAATGGAACACTACTCATCACCAGAAGAAATGGGTTGTCACACCTAAAAAGAATGGAAAAATCTTGTAACAGTATTTTTATTGGCATATATTTTTTGGGCTGGGATGGACCTTAAATGCACATTACTAAGAGAAAAAGGCCAGTCTGAAAATGCTACATTTTCTGATTCTAACTACGTGGCATTTTGGAAATGGCAAAACTACAAAGACAACGGAAGATGAGAGGTTTCCAGGAGTTTGAGGAGAGGGAGAGGGCAGTCAGGCAGAATGTGGACCTTTAGGCTGTTAAACTGTTTTGCATGACACTATGTGGGAAGATGTTATTGTCCAATACCAGTGCTGGGCAGGGAAGAACCAGACTCAACACAGAGGAGGCTGTGGGGCAGGAAAGATATGAAAACCTGGCTCCTCTACTCGATTTCCCCTAAACTTGAAACTGTCCTAAGAAATAATCTATGAAAAAAATGATATTTCCTGGGTTCCACACAAGACCTGCTCAGGCAGAATCTTGGGGAGGGCTGGGAAGGCACATGCACACATTTCCTTGCAGAATAGATCATGGACTATGTAGGGGGAAGCAAGAAAAGCAAAGGAGAGAGAAAGTGAAACAGTAATCAAGAGATACATGCTGTCTCCCAATCTCAAACACTCAGATCCAGAGTCAGGGATGAGACTGCATTCAATCTCTTCAGCTAACTCCCACAGAGGGTAGTAACTCATCCTATACCCCACGGGGCTTCATGAAGTAGGATGCAGAAGAGGCCTTGGAAAAGAGATGAGAACGGCACACGGTACTTCAGATACTCTCCGGAAGCATCACAGAAGATGGGCGGAAGGAATGTATGAACTGAAAAACGGAGGACTGTCAAATGCCATCTTCTGGATATGACATGGTGACCGAAGCCGGGAGTTCACAGCAGTTACACTCACTTGCACAAGACTGACCCTGTCAACTGTCAGTCATGGGTGGGGTAAGGGCTCTTAGGGCCCTACCTTGCCCCGCTATGAACTACTGACAGACGCTGGGAGAGATGGAGCCATTGTCTCTCGCTGTGTGTTTACAGGTATATCCATCAAGCTCCAATGCAGTCCCGTGATCAGAGAAGATCCTGGTTAAACTCAGTGGTCACTGATCAGCGCCTCACTCAACCTTCAGCAGAAAAGTGTCTTGTTGGTTTGGACTCACAAAGAGACCCATGATGAGACAGTGTGCAGAGAGTGAGAAACTTTGGAGCATTCAGTCCCTAATGGGATGTCTTCATCAAACTCCTTCCCTCAGGGCTCAGGGAGCTACGTGGCAGAAGAGGCAGAGAGAGGCAGAGGTGATGGACAACGCCAAGGAAACAGAGCCTTGCAGACATAACAAGGCTGAGACACACAGAGGGGCTGTGGCAGCAAGCCCTGTACAGGTTCAGGTCAGACGGGGAGCCTCACTGGATATACTAACCACCCTTGGGGCAGGCCTCATGCCCGAGAGTAATTAGCCAACAAAGAACGAACTCGGGAATTTTGTAAACTCTTCCATTTTGCTTTGTTTGGGGCTTTTTTGTGTGTGTGTGTGTTAGATCCTTACTTTTGCTTGTTTATCATGATTTCCATTTTGTGTGTGTGCTTCTTGTTATTTTGTTTTGTTTTGCTTAAAAGAGAGACAAAAAACAAAGTTATAGAGGTCGGGAAGATCTGGGAAGAATGGGGAGCAATCAAAATACAAGAGAAAGTGAGGGAGAGAAATCAGAATTCATAACATACACATATATAATTGTCTAGGAGCAAATCATTAATAAAAAATCTTGTAAATGTAAAAGGAAGGAGAGGGAGAGGGAAAGAGAGAGATAGAGAGATGGAGAGGGAGAGGGAGAGGGAGGGAGGGAGGGAGAGACAGATTTGAATGAAATCACCAAAGGCAGTGAAGAGGAGCTAAGCATTTGAATAAAGGACAAAACAACCAGAGAACAGAATTTCTCCCAAGCTGAACTATTTCTGCCTGAAGACAGCTTTGTTAAGTGTCTCACGACATCAAGTAGGTGCATGTTCTTCATCATGATTTCATGGAAACGGGGCAGATGACAAGTTATCTTTGGGATTTAGTTTTAAAGACAGATTAAGTGGCGAAGCCCAACAGCAATGAGCACACTTGCAGTTTTCTAAGCACACAATCCTATCCAGAAGAGGCGAGAGCAACTGGCAGCCTTTTGTGAGGAACCTGAGTCCACCCAGTGAGAGAAAAATGGATTTTTAAAGATGGCATTTGAAACTTGTCATGTCAATGACTGTGCCACAAAGCACTGGTCGTATCTGGGGTAACCTTACAATCTATTTGCAATTCAGAGTTACAGAGGTGTTTACTAAATGTGCCAGCCAAGCAGCTGGAGGCCAGGCTGTCCCAGGCAAGCCAGAGGGCTCATCTCCCTGACAAAGTCCTGTCTGTACTACTTCCCTGGGTCAGTAAAGCTAGCAGTTTTCACATGCACGAGCAACAATGTTCTGAGGAATAACCACAGAGGGTGCTAATACACTCTGGCTCCTGGCAAGAAGCACTAAATAGCATTTTTATAATTCACGGCACAGCAGTAATTACAATTGATCTTGGGATTCATCAAAGGTCAGCATTAATTGGCAGGCCATATTGGATTCAATCTAGATTTCTCAGGAATTCACACTTAGGCACTGTTTCACCAGCCCTGTGACACCCCCTTCACAACTTCCAACTTGGCAAACTGTCAGATGAGAAAACCTTTGTCTTATTTTAAAACATACATTACTTCTGTAAGGATCTCATGTCATCCGTGAGCTGCTTACTTTGATGACAAGGAACAGACTTCTTATTGAGTTTCTGACCCAAAACATTCTTACTTATATTATTTTCTATTTTCATGATATTTATTGGGATCTACAGTATGTTGTGTCTTCTTAAGTCTTAAAGCAGAGAGGACAGGGAACAAATCATTCTAAATGTAAAAGTCACTTGTAACCACTGAGACTAATGGTTCATAGACCAGGGGACTCTGAAACAAACCACGCTTTGTCACATACAAAGCTGCTCCTATAGCTAACTATTCCAACAGCCAGAATGAAATAATCCAAAAGTACAACATGCACTGAACGGTTAAATAAAACATGGCTTTGAAACAGAATGCTAAAAGCTCCACCAGTGAGAAGGAATGACTTCCTCGTACACACCACGGCATGAATGAAGTTTGAAAATATCAAGGTGAGCCAAAGATAACAGGCACACAGGTCATTTAGATGATGTACCCAGAAGAGGAAAATCTATAGAGGCAGAATATGCATGAAGGGTTGTCTTATGCTAAGGTTCTGGGGAGAATGGAGAATGACTGTCAGTGGGTACAAGGACCCCACTTGGGGTGATGAAAACACTCTAAAAACCAGCAACAGTGGAGCTGTACAAGTTCACGACGAAAGAAAGACCTGCTGATCTGCATACTCTACATGGTAAAATGGTGCTGTGGACAAATACCACAATTAATGGAGCCATTCAGCAGTACTCAGCAACAAACCACACTCTTCGTCAGTGTGGGGCACTGCTGTGGCCACCGCAGGTAGCAATCTAGAAGAAGGAATTAAAACTATGTCCATCGACTATGGGAAAGAATTTCACTGAGCAGGAACGGTAGATGGGAGGGAGAGAAGAACCCTTATGCAGGATAACATTTTTAAAAGAGCAGGGGACATGAGGAGCCAGATGGCAAATGTGGAAAACCAGGGACACAGCTCAGTGTCCGTCCTTGTAGGGAGGTAGGGTGTCTGTGAATCCAAAAGGCCTCAAGGTTCAGCTCTAAGATGACCTGTGCCATCCTAGTTAACAAAGCAGACAGAACAACCAACAAGGTCAGTTCCCGAGGGCGTTCCACAGTTGAAAATAAAAGCCGCTGGGTGTGGTAGCACACGCCTTTAAATCCTAGAGCTCTGGAGGCAGAGGCAGGTGGGTCTTTGTCAATTCATGGTCAGCCTGATCTACATAGTGAGTTCCATTTTAGTCAGAGCCACATAGCAAGACCCCATCTTAAAAACAAAAACAAAAACAAAAACTGTCTGGTATTTGGAAATTAAAATTCAGTAAGTCACACCACAACTTTGAGCAAGTATTCACTCCACAGTTTTTATTTAAATGAATGATACAATGATTTTATACAACCTTTAAGCTGTTTAAAATGATGACAACATTTAGCTCTTCAAATTTCATATGGCTTCCTCCTTCTTGTGCTCTGGCTTCTTCTAGAAGCTTCACGGTTCTACTTCTCATGAAAATGTTTGAAAATGTTTATGTCAATGGTGAACAAACAGAGGCATTATAAAATTCTGTAGTTCTCATAAAAGTGGATTCCTATCAAACTAGCCTGTTGCCAGTTGTCTGAAATTGAAACTCTTCGGCCCTGTGACCGCAGCCCTGTGTCTGCCATTCTAGGCTTCACTGACAAGTGTCTTGTTTCACATGAAATTTATTGTCTAGGAAAATTCTAATTACCTGGTGAAGTTTTCACATCCAAAGTGTTTGTTCTTCGGAAGGCGGGAAGATGAGAGCCTGAAAAGCTCTCCCTTCAGAGGAAGAACTCTGTCTCAGCAGGAAGACTATGTTCATCACGTGTGTTCATGTCACAAAGACAGGCTGCTACCAGAAAGTTCTCCTGTGCAGTTTGTATCCTCGGTTCTCCACAGTTTGCTCAAAGAAGGTGGTTTTCATGTTAATGTGGGAGAGAAGTTTGTATTTCCTCTGTTTCCAGCTCCTCTGTCCATGTGTGTAGGTCCTTTACATCACGGGCCATCCAGAAGTCTGCAAAATGCTTAAGTCTTTTCCTGGGGAAAAAAGTAAAGTATTAGTTATTTTGGAAATGGGATTAGTGGAGGAGATGTCTCACAGGAACAATGGAAAGGTACTCGGCAGGGACAGAAAGGGCTCTGTGGACAGGAAGCTGTGACAGTGTGCCCCGCTCCAGGACTACAGTTCCATCAAAGGTCCAGGTTATTGATTCCCATGAATGTCTTCCTGCTGCCCTTCTAAAGTTCTGCCTGATGCGAGGG